TTGTAAATAAAAAATTATCAGTGGTAACAGTTTTAGTATCGTACTTTTCACGATATGTATAAAGAACGGAAAGCTCCGATCGATCTTGGTAGACGTCATCACTTGAAGAGAAATATAACGATAGAATTTGAAATAGTAAAAGTAAAGAAGATTGTGCAACAGCTTGTCTATATGTCTGGGAGCTACCGCCATAATTTAGGGCTGCGTAATTTATATCTCCTTAAAATTAGCTATTATGTGTTTCTTGATTATTCCGTCATGTCTTTTCTAAGAAAATTGAAAGGTTTCTCCGAAGTCATGATTTTTTTTTTATAATGAGGGGAAACGTTAGTTAACGTCGACTGCAGGACGAAAAGGTTTTATACCGAGACAATGAATTTACTTTTTGACCACTTTTCATAATTTATCGTATACAGAAAACGTGATTACCTGTATAAAACGTGTTCTATTAATATTATTAATTTAAATTAAAAAAAGCCACTGGGCCTAGCTTTTATAAAACAAAATTACTTTTCTTTCACAAGTTATTAACAAAACTTTTAACCTAACATTGTTCGCACTATTCATTTCTGTATTTTGCTTAAAATCAAATTATATAATTTATGTAAAAAACAGTAATTCAACATTGACAACTTTTAACTACACCATTTTCTGTTGGGTTGTGTAGCATTTTTTGAACAATTGTGCATATTTAAAATTCTAAAATATTGGGCTCGATTGTTTCAAGGTTTACCCTTCTTCCACCGAAATGGGTACACTATGCACCCATATTTAATGTTGTTTCCTAGCATAAGTCTACAATTTCATTAACTAAAGTTTTACAGTGTCTTATAAGAATCATAATTTGTTTACCTTCCATAAAAGTTTAATGGCCAAGTCCGATAAAATTAGAATTCAAGTTATACCCATATGCTTCTATGTGACTTCTCAAAAATACAGCTAATAAACAGTGTATGTCTGTATAATATATCAGTTTTATTTTTGTAAGTTTTAACACTACAAAAAACTGACTAAAAACAAAGAAATTGTAAGAACTTTAAATCATAAGTATGATGCTTTCATGCTGGAATACATAAGATAAAAAAATCATAATGAGGCATTGAAATAATCCTTCAGTCAGTTAAGATGACAAAACCATATGTTGGCAATATCTGTTGATAACAAGTTGGAAATAATCTTGGTACCAGTGTGTGTGAGAAAGCTGGAACCTCTTGAACTCCTTTTGATCTCACCCAGTACACTTCTTCGTGTATGTTGTCTCTCATAACGTGAAATTACTCATGTTACAGATTATAAGCAGGTCTACTTCCTCTACTAGATAAATGTTAACATAGCAACTGTAAGACAGTTTGTTCAACTAATGTTATTTGTTATGTTGTGAGACAGACTAAAAATGGATGGAAACTTTAAATGAATGATAAAATCATTTACTTAGTTAGCTACAAAACTTTTATAGCAAGGACTTAGATATAAACTCATCAAGAAGATAATTCTTTTAGAAAGGGATACCATTTATGTAAATAAACAATTTAAAACCTCAAACAGCTTTAAGTGGATAAAATTATATTTATTTAAAATAATGCATATAGTACAACATTTGGGCAACATGTGCAGCCATTATGTTTAAGGTTACACAATCCTGTAACTAAAAGATTTGTCTGACCATCACAGCTTTTCAGAAACAAATTATACCTGTTACAGATGGCTTTATTTCAGAGCAAGAACAGGTATCATAATTTGTCATATTAAAATAATACAGTATGGCTACACTTTTACTTAATGAGCAGCTGAACTTACAATATTATAGAATCAGATTTTTTCAAGACAAAGTCTAGAATGTCTATTCTGTGTATGGCAAAAGTGACCAATACATGATATAGCTACAATACCACAAAATAAGAAATACAAAAAATAACAAAAGCAGTAAATACACAAAATGCTTTTGAAAATTTGTTATGTTATATTCAATCTGAAGTAAGATGACTAATAAATTTACAAAAAAAGTTGGTTGTGTTACATTCAATCTGAAGTAAGATGACTAATAAATTTACAAAAAAAATGGTTGTATCACATTCAAGCTGAAGTAAGATGACTAATAAATTTACAAAAAAAGTTGGTTGTGTTACATTCAATCTGAAGTAAGATGACTAATAAATTTACAAAAAAAATGGTTGCATCACATTCAAGCTGAAGTAAGATGACTAATAAATTTACAAAAAAAGTTGGTTGTGTTATATTCAATCTGAAGTAAGATGACTAATAAGTTTACAAAAAAGTTGGTTGTGTTATATTCAATCTGAAGTAAAATGACTAATAAATTTACAAAAAAATTGGTTGTATCACATTCAAGCTGAAGTAAGATGACTAATAAATTTACAGAAAAGTTGGTTGTGTTATATTCAATCTGAAGTAAGATGACTAATAAGTTTACAAAAAAGTTGGTTGTGTTATATTCAATCTGAAGTAAGATGACTAATAAGTTTACAAAAAAGTCAGTTGTGTCATATTCAATCTGAAGTGAGATGACTAATAAGTTTACAAAAATAAGTTGGTATTGTTATATTGAATCTGGAGTAAGATGACTAATAAATTGTTCAAAGAAGCAAGTTTTTGTTTAATCTGTTCAACAACTTTCATTTTTGAATACTTTATAAAACTACAAGTTAAAGTCTATAACTCAGTAACGTCCTGAGACAAGGTGCTCATTGTAAGTTCTGTCATGTGCTTATGAATGTATGTATGAATCCTGCAAAAATTTATTTATATGCAGATTCATGCAACCAATAGCACAACAACCAGAAGGCATATTGCAGGACAACCACCACATTTTGTCAAGCATGCAGTGGTGGGATTCAGCTGGTTCGTGCGAACCTGTTCTTAGAATTTAATGACCTCCACGAATCTGTTGTTAACAATCGTATGTATAGGCCTAATAATAACGTTACAACTTACAAGGTTGTAAACACGCGTAGCCTGCTAGTAAAGTTGCAGTAGACCTAGTCCGCCTACCTGCTGGCAAATGATTCATCAGAGATCTAAACACTTATTTTATACAGATTCTT